TTTTGTAGTCATTGAAACATGTTATCCTGAAAAGGACAGTTTTGTAGTCATTGAAACATGTTATCCTGAAAAGGACAGTTTTGTAGTCATTGGAACATGTTATCCTGAAAAGGACAGTTTTGTGGTCATTGAAACATGTTATCCTGAAAAGGACAGTTTTGTAGTCATTGGAATATGTTATCCTGAAATTGACAGTTTTGTACTCATTGAAACATGTTATCCTGAAAAAGACAGTTTTGTAGTCATTGGAACATGTTATCCTGAAAAAGACAGTTTTGTACTCGTTGAAACATGTTATCCTGAAAAGGACAGTTTTGTAGTCATTGAAACATGTTATCCTGAAAAGGACAGATTTGTAGTCATTGGAACATGTTATCCTGAAAAAGACAGTTTTGTAGTCATTGAAACATGTTATCCTTAAAAGGACAGTTTTGTAGTCATTGGAACATGTTATCCTGAAATTGACAGTTTCGTAGTCATTGGAACATGTTATCCTGAAAAGGACAGTTTTGTAGTCACTGGAACATGTTATCCTGAAAAGGACAGTTTTGTAGTCATTGAAACATATTATCCTGAAAAGGACAGTTTTGTACTCATTGAAACATGTTATCCTGAAAAGGACAGTTTTGTAGTCATTGAAACATGTTATCCTGAAAAGGACAGTTTTGTAGTCATTGGAACTTGTTATCCTGAAAAAGACAGTTTTGTAGTCATTGAAAGATGTTATCCTGAAAAGGACAGTTTTGTACTCATTGAAACATGTTATCCTGAAAAAGACAGTTTTGTAGTCATTGAAACATGTTATCCTGAAATTGACAGTTTTGTACTCATTGAAACATGTTATCCTGAAAAAGACAGTTTTGTACTCATTGAAACATGTTATCCTGAAAAGGACAGTTTTGTAGTCATTGAAACATGTTATCCTGAAAAGGACAGATTTGTAGTCATTGGAACATGTTATCCTGAAAAAGACAGTTTTGTAGTCATTGAAACATGTTATCCTTAAAAGGACAGTTTTGTAGTCATTGGAACATGTTATCCTGAAATTGACAGTTTCGTAGTCATTGGAACATGTTATCCTGAAAAGGACAGTTTTGTAGTCACTGGAACATGTTATCCTGAAAAAGACAGTTTTGTAGTCATTGAAACATATTATCCTGAAAAGGACAGTTTTGTAGTCATCGAAACATGTTATCCTGAAAAGGACAGTTTTGTAGTCATTGGAACATGTTATACTGAAATTGACAGTTTTGTACTCATTGAAACATGTTATCCTGAAAAGGACAGTTTTGTAGTCATTGGAACATGTTATCCTGAAAAAGACAGTTTTGTAGTCGTTGGAATGTGCTATCCTGAAAAGGACAGTTTTGTAGTCATTGAAACATGTTATCCTGAAAAGGACAGTTTTGTAGTCATTGAAACATGTTATCCTGAAATTGACAGTTTTGTACTCATTGAAACATGTTATCCTGAAATTGACAGTTTTGTAGTCATTGAAACATGTTATCCTGAAATTGACAGTTTTGTACTCATTGAAACATGTTATCCTGAAAAAGACAGTTTTGTAGTCATTGGAACATGTTATCCTGAAAAGGACATTTTTGTAGTCATTGGAACTTGTTATCCTGAAAAAGACAGTTTTGTAGTCATTGAAAGATGTTATCCTGAAAATGACAGTTTTGTACTCATCGAAACATGTTATCCTGAAAAAGACAGTTTATTGTATATTGTTACTGCTGACAAGGATGGGTTGCTGAAGCTAGAACTGCTGATGTCTTGCTGGGACTGTAGGCCGGCTGACTGCTGGACCAGATACTACATTTTGATCCTAGGCATCTTGGCCCACATTGCTTGCTTGTGTCAACTTCTAAGGCCTTTTTAAATGTTGAACCATTTTCACAACAGTCACTGGTTCTGGAAGGTGATGTTTCTTCTTCTGGTTGTTCTTTTTTAAAATGTGGGCGCACCCATAAGATATGATGCATCCTAGTGCCAAACTCATTTAGAAATATGTCAACTATCTATTGTATAAAACTACTTTCTACTGCCAATGTCCATTATCTCCATATAATAATGTATAATTGATTTTGGGTGTGTGTTGGCCTTATGTAATGATTAAAAGAGTGTTGATAAATACAAAATAAATCATTATATCCACATCTAATAATACAGAAGTGTGAGTTGAAAGTAGAAGTTTCCATTGTTCACAAAAAAAGGGAGGAAGTAAATATATATTTATATGAATATATGTATGCATGTATCCAAATATAGTAGTTGCCACTTGACCACGTGTTGAAGGAAGGTATATTTGGTCACTACTTTAGCCATCTATGGTCACTTGCTGGTCATGCAAATGTCGTATTTTTTCTTTTGGTGCCTACTTTATGATGCATACTATATTGGAGAATGGACAAATTTAATTCAACAACTCTGATTTTGGTTGTTTTTTATATATATATATATATATATATATATATATATATATATATATATCGATATCTGTGGATTTGGCAAAAAAGACACTCTGCTTCTCATTGGCTCATGGCCTATATCCTGTTATGAAAATTTTCTGATAGGTTGGCCAAACTATATATTATTAGAAATGGTGACATTTTGGTCTTCTTGTTATTATTTATTTATTTATTTTCTTTCATCCTGGTTGTGAAAGTATTCTGATTTGTTAGTTGAACTATGGCTTTGTTTGCCTGGCAATCTTTATTGTCTGTCTATTTTTAGAGATGGTGAAATTTTGGTCTTCTTGTTATTTTTATTTATTTATTTCCCTATCATCACAAGATCAATGATTAAAATAGGTTTGAGCAAGTGAAGCCTATAGGTATTGGCAAAGACCACACTTCTTCAATCCTTGTGGACTGGCACTGCAGAATCACAAAGAACTGTACCAAATAATAGAAACTACATCATTTTAGAACTTTCAACAACAGCAGCAAGAAAAAGTGTATATAAAAGTTTAGGAAGGAAACCTCCATCAATACTGGAAAGAGTGATAACAGCTAGTGGGCTTGAGAAGAGAAAATAATGACATAATCAAGATGTTGACATTCCACACTACTTCAAATAAAAGGTTAGGAAGGAAACTCCCATTAATATTGGAAAGAGTGATAACAGCTACTGGACCTGAAAAAACTATTTTTAATAAAAAATGTTTTAATAGACAGATTTTATAAATTTCAAGCAAAAGTAGTACTGACTGCTTGATCAAGGAATGCTGAATGTTTCCTTATAAGGAAATAACTAATAGTACCATTACTAGTACCATTATTGTTTTTACCAATGCCACCATATCTCCCTCACTATTAAATAAACTTATCATTTTTGAGCTTTTTCTGATTTTTTTAGACTTTGTGTGAAATAAAAATTCTCTCATTTTTTTGAAAAGCATGATACACATGGCAAATGTTCAAAGACAGAATAGAACAACAATTTAGTTATGTTTGTTTGTTTAGCGGCATATCAACTCCTTATGGGTCATTTAATGCTGAAATTTAATTTTATTGAGGGTATTAGTAATTTCTTAGTAATGGTAAATTTTTGTTTTTATTTTTTTACAAAAATTTATTACTGGTAATATTTTTTATTATGAAAATGTATTGCTGGTATTTTTACTATAAAATTTTTTATACTTTGATAGGGTTTTGATCCCAATTTGGGGGTTAACTATATGCCTGTTGTTGGGAACAACAGCAATTAAGTGGTGGTTCCACACTCCTCAAAATCTCCTGATCAGAGGTCTTTCTGCCGGATGTAATTTACCGTCATACCCAGGTAACTTAGCTTGAACATAAACAAAGAAACTCGTGTGCCAATGCAAGAAAGAAAAACGACAATCTGAGAAAAACGATTGCACTAAAAAGAAAAATCAAAATAAGAAGGAGAATCAGGAATAAAGGAGAATGAAGGAAAAATTAAAGAACGAAGATAATAATGAAGAAGAGAATAAAAAAAGAAAATGTTAATAAAAGAAAGGATATCAAGAAGAAAGAAAATAAAATAGCAAATAATAAATGAAATAAAGTAAAAAGTAAAAAACTTTTGAATTAAAAAAAATGTCAAAGAAAAGCATAAAGATGAATGAAAGTAAAAGTAAAATAAAGAATAAAAGGAAAAACACAAAAAAAGAATAAAGGAAGAAGATGAAAAAATAAAAAAAAAGTAATGCTTAAATAACAACATGAACAAAATGAAAAAGAAATAAAAAACGTCCATACGATCCTAATTAGCATTAATCAGTATGATTGAATTGTATAGAATTGTTTTTTCTACTTTCACTTTTACTTTCATTTTTCATTTTTCTGGTCAATGAGGAATGTGAGTGAAGCTGATAGTGCAGAAATGCAGATGACATGAGTGATGCATTATCAATGCACATTGATAAAGGAATGTTGCACTATAGCTGGAAGGTGCTGAGAAGATCTTAGAAACAGACAACTATTAAAGAAAAACCTGGTTTCTGATAGGCAGGGAAAGAAAGTATATACATTCCTTGGGTTCAAATAGCAAATGAGTCACAGGAGAAGACAATAGTGGTAATTAAAAAGAACTATCTGTGAGTAAACAATGTGTGTGTGTGTGTGTGTGTGTGTGTGTGTGTGTGTGTGTGTGCATATGTGTGTGTGTGTCATCATGGTTTCATGACCAAGAATTTGAAAGCTTTTCAAGATTGCTTTAGATGCTCCCATGTGTTTTTGAAGTGTGTAAATATACACAGGTATGTGTGTATGTGCAATTGTATCTGCGTATAACCATATTCTTATATTTTATTAGCATATATATATATATATATATATATATATATATGTGTGTGTGTGTGTGTGTGTGTGTACATATATATGTGTGTGTGTGTATATATATATATATATATATATATATATGTATGTATGTATGTATGTATGCATGTATACACACTCAAACTGAGTCAGATAGATATTAACTGAATCAGATAGAATTAACTGAGTGAGATTGATAAATTGATAGATAACTGAGATAGATAGATATGAAAAGACTGAAATTAATGGATATAAACAGATCAAGATAGATAGATAGATAGATAGATAGGAACAGACTGAGATAGATTGATCGATAGATAGATAGGAACAGAGATAGATAGATAGATAGATAGATAGATAGTTTGGAACAGACTGAGATAGATAGATAGATAGATAGATAGATAGATAGATAGATAGATACTCATCCAAATTAATTGTATATTGAATGTACTCATCAATAAAAAGTAATATATTTTGCATATTTCATTTTGATTTTAAGAAATTTTCAAGACGTTTTTTGCTTCGATTTGAAAATCTAGTGAAAGAGAATTGGTTCATTAATTTTAATGTGAAATGATTTGTTATTCCCGGTTCGGTCCTCTGCTCTTCTGATTGCACTTATTTATCTACCTTTGTGCTCGTTCGTTAGGCAAAGTACTAATTAAATACTAGACTTTTGTACTGAGGTGTTTTTATTTTGCTGCTGCTGATGGAGGAAATGAAACTGAAAGAAAAAATGAATAGAAAAGTAAAGAGAATGAATGAGGGTAGGAAAGAAAGAAAGATGGAAAAGAAAGTGAAGAAGAAAATAATTGAAAAGACAGAAAGAAAGGAAGTAAAAAAAAGAGACTAAGAAAAAAGGGAGAATTAAGAGAAGAAACTGGAGAATAAGAATCAGAAGACTGAAATCAGAAAGAAAGACAGAGAAAGAGGAATAGGTGAAAAGAAAGAAAGAAAAAAGGAGGAAGTAAAGGAAAAATAGAAAGAGAAATGTGTTGGGAGACAAAAAAGAAACAGAAACAATAAAGAAAAAGAGAAGACATTGAGAAAAATGGAGGAAAAGAAATGAATTGATAAGAAAGAAAGAAAGAAAGAAAGAAAGAAAGAAAAAAGAAAGGATTATTTATACTATTTACATCATTTGGGCTGTTGTCCTTGTCTTTATTGCCATATTCATGAACCCCATGGATAAAATGTTGTTTGAGTGATCCAAAAAGTTTCTTTACCCAAAGATTTGTGAGTTCAATACCTGGCCACAGCAGAGGGAACCAAAATTTGGGGATTTGAGTTACTAAAGGGAATTAACTGAAATTGAGATATCCAAAAAAGGTATGGCACATGGAACTAGAATAATCCCCCCCCATACCCCTTAGACTAAATAAAGAGTTTGGTTCCCAATTCTAACAAATATCACCTGAAGAAGGCCGGAATATACAATGGACAAAAACATTGTGAATAAAGATGAAGGTAATAGTCCGAACAATGTAAATAGTGTATTATGCCAAATCTCAGAAATATAAAAAGAAAGAAACAAACAAACAAATAAACAAAAGGAAGGAGAAGAAAGAAAGAAAGCAAGATAGAAAAGGAAGGAGAAGAAAAAAGAAAAAGGAAGGAAAGAAAGAAAGAAAGAAAGAAAGAAAGAAAGAAAGAAAGAAAGAAGAAGGATGGAATATAAACAAAAAGGAAGGAATAGAAAGAAAGAAAGAAAGAAAGAAAGAAAGAAAGAAAGAAAGAAAGAAAGAAGAAAAAGGATGGAATATAAACAAAAAGGAAGGAAAAGAAAGAAAGAAAGAAAGAAAGAAAGAAAGAAAGAAAGAAAGAAAGAAAGAAAGAAAGAAAGAAGAAAAAGGATGGAATATAAACAAAAAGGAAAGAAAGAAAGAAAGAAAGAAAGAAAGAAAGAAAGAAAGAAAGAAAGAAAGAAAGAAGAAAAAGGATGGAATATAAACAAAAAGGAAGGAATAGAAAGAAAGAAAGAAAGAAAGAAAGAAAGAAGAAAAAGGATGGAATATAAACAAAAAGTAAGGAATAGAAAGAAAGAAAGAAAGAAAGAAAGAAAGAAAGAAGAAGGATGGAATATAAACAAAAGGAAGGAATAGAAAGAAAGAAAAGAAAGAAAGAAAGAAAGAAAGAAAGAAAGAAAGAAGAAAAAGGATGGAATATAAACAAAAAGGAAGGAAAAGAAAGAAAGAAAGAAAGAAAGAAAGAAAGAAAGAAGAAAAAGGATGGAATATAAACAAAAAGGAAGGAATAGAAAGAAAGAAAGAAAGAAAGAAAGAAAGAAAGAAAGAAAGAAAGAAAGAAAGAAAGAAGAAAAAGGATGGAATATAAACAAAAAGGAAGGAAAAGAAAGAAAGAAAGAAAGAAAGAAAGAAGAAAAACGAATATAAACAAAAAGGAAGGAATAGAAAGAAAGAAAGAAAGAAAGAAAGAGAGAAAGAAAGGAGGATAGAAAAAAGAAAGAAAACAAAAAGGAATGGAAATAAAAGAAAGAAGAAAAGAGAGAATGATAAAATGGAAGAAGGGTACTGGTAGAAGAACAAATCTAAAGCCGATGGCTGGTGGGTAAGGTTGACAATTTGATACAAGACACAGTGCCCAGATATATTCTGATCAGAGGCAGCAGAAGTCTGATCCAAAAAAGAATGCACAGATACTCCACTGATCATAGGCAGAGTGCCAGTTATAGCATTATTTACCCTGGTCTCCCCACTGAAATGAGATGTGACACATGGTCAGGTTTAACATGGAGAACCCAAACATGTACACCTGGGCCAAAGACAAGAAATTGTCCAACCATCACAACTGTCAGTTGCACTGACATCAGTATGATGACCAATCCCCTCACTTTAGCGCAATGAGAGTGGCAGTACAGCCTTGGGCAGCTATTCTGCAGGACTGAGTACCTTACAGTATTTATTTTACTCAGCTAAGTCTCTGCCTGTGGACAGAGCCACAACTGAGTTGCATTCTACCTGAAAAGAGAGACACAATTGAGAGATGATAAGCCTAGCTGGACAGTGTTAAGAATAGCAACACGGTGATAGTGTCGAAGCAAACTGATTTTTATTACATGTGTTATGCTCATAAAAAAATAAATAGAAAATTAATTATAGTGTCAAAAATACTTATATGGAAATAATTATAGCAAATATGATTAGCATAAATTCACTCATTCTAAAATAAATCAATGTGAATCCATCCCACTTTTCTCCTCTACACACACAAACACATGACATTCTCACTTTTGGACAAGTAGTTCACATGGACAGGTTGTTAACATGTGTGCCAATGAAAATTTTATCTCTTTTCCTTTTTTCTGGCCATAATAGTAACATTTATTTTTTAGCACTCATCAAAAATTTGAGGTAAGTAAACCCCAGACACTTCTTGTATTTTTCCAACTAAATTAACTGGACATATTTATAAAAAAACATATGAGAAAGACTATATACACTTTGCTTATCCTTTGTCTTATTATTCTGTCGGATTCATCTCCATATTTGATCTACATTTGATCCCAAACTCAGAATTTTACTCAGTATTACTGCCTCTCATTTCTCCAACACCACATAACAACCAAATAATAATACTTGTTTTGTTGTTTCCACGTCTTGCTGTTTCTCATTTTTACAAATATTATTGTACTTTCTTTAAAGATACAGATCTGTTTCTATGGCTTGTCATAACCTGATTTTCTATGTAGGTCAGAACTCAGAATTTTACTCATTATTACCGTCTCTCGTTTCTCCAACATCACATAACAAACAAATAATAAATAATACTTGTTTTATTGTTTCCACGTCTTGCTGTTTTCTCATTTTTACAAATATTATTGTACTTTCTTTAAAGATACAGATCTGTTTCTATGGCTTGTCATAACCTGATTTTCTATGTAGGTCAGAACTCAGAATTTTACTCATTATTACCGTCTCTCGTTTCTCCAACATCACATAACAAACAAATAATAAATAATACTTGTTTTATTGTTTCCACGTCTTGCTGTTTCTCATTTTACAAATATTATTGTACTTTCTTTAAAGATACAGATCTGTTTCTATGGCTTGTCATAACCTGATTTTCTATGTAGGTCAGAACTCAGAATTTTACTCATTATTACCGTCTCTCGTTTCTCCAACATCACATAACAAACAAATAATAAATAATACTTGTTTTATTGTTTCCACGTCTTGCTGTTTCTCATTTTTACAAATATTATTGTACTTTCTTTAAAGATACAGATCTGTTTCTATGGCTTGTCATAACCTGATTTCTATGTAGGTCAGAACTCAGAATTTTACTCATTATTACCGTATCTCGTTTCTCCAACATCACATAACAAACAAATAATAAATAATACTTGTTTTATTGTTTCCACGTCTTGCTGTTTCTCATTTTACAAATATTATTGTACTTTCTTTTAAAGATACAGATCTGTTTCTATGGCTTGTCATAACCTGATTTTCTATGTAGGTCAGAACTCAGAATTTTACTCATTATTATTACCGTCTCTCGTTTCTCCAACATCACATAACAAACAAATAATAAATAATACTTGTTTTATTGTTTCCACGTCTTGCTGTTTCTCATTTTTACAAATATTATTGTACTTTCTTTAAAGATACAGATCTGTTTCTATGGCTTGTCATAACCTGATTTTCTATGTAGGTCAGAACTCAGAATTTTACTCATTATTACCGTCTCTCGTTTCTCCAACATCACATAACAAACAAATAATAAATAATACTTGTTTTATTGTTTCCACGTCTTGCTGTTTCTCATTTTTACAAATATTATTGTACTTTCTTTAAAGATACAGATCTGTTTCTATGGCTTGTCATAACCTGATTTTCTATGTAGGTCAGAACTCAGAATTTTACTCATTATTATCGTCTCTCGTTTCTCCAACATCACATAACAAACAAATAATAAATAATACTTGTTTTATTGTTTCCACGTCTTGCTGTTTCTCATTTTTACAAGTATTTTTGTATATATAAATGTAAGGATTTTTATACTTATTTACTCAGAATTATAACTCTCCTACACATGTCACTTAAAAAAGATGTTTACAAATTTATGTCTCACAAGAAGCTTCCATTAAAGTTTCTATAAAGTCTCACCCTAAAGAGTTCTCAATCAAGGGGAATAAATCATGGATACTTGACTTATCACAATAATACACCAGGAAGAGACAATGTGATACTAAACAAATTATACAAATACAATCAAGAAAAAATTGAACAAATACTCCCCTTTGTCGTGTTTCTTACACTAAACCAGATGTTGACTGCTTGACGACCCAAGGCAGAAAGCGAAAACACATCTCTGCGCATCATGGCTCGATGCAGGTTTTCGGTATTAAATGATAAAATGAACTTTATATATTGACCAGTAGAAATAACTCCCGCTAAAAGACACAGTGATTTGGAGCCGATACGACAGATATAAATTCCTTGATTCAACGCCGCAGAAGACAGATGGAGAGAGACCCAGGTGAGATGTCAACACGCAGAGGTTGGTCAAGAATGCTGCAGAGAGACTAAGATACTTTTCAACCTGATACTTTTCAATTTTCATCCTTTCGCTGCCACCATCTTCACAAAGCATCAGCCGACAGCTATGACCAACATTCTTTCTTTTTCTTTCTTACTTCCCCACTCTGTCACCTTTTACAACAGCAACAAGTGGTATGCTGGCTTTGTATATATGTAAATAAATTATACATTTATTTACCAAAAATTCCTTTTCCTTGAATTTTCCTCCTTTTTCTTCATTTGCTGAGGTAAAGAAGAAATTAACCTCTTCAGCAGAAACAACAACAGTGACAAGTTCTGCCTTCCACGTTACTCATTCTTCGTTTCCACAACACCTTTGATCTCAGGTAGAAAGGAAAAACTATCAGAGAATAGGAAAAAAGACTGAGCCTGCACTTTGAACGAAAAGAAAAATTTTTTTTATTTTCCCCTTAATGAATTGACAAAGCAATCAATTCTAATTAGGATCAGGAAGGTTTCTTTTCTAAGATGGGGGAGTCACTTATCTTAGTTGGAGTTTTTCAAAATCTATAGGCAGTTTTGTTTCTATCTATCTGTTCATATCTATCTGGATAACAGTCACATCAAGTTGTAACATCAGTTCTAGTGCAATCACCAAAGTTAAGCAATGTTGAGCCTGGTCAGTATCTAGATAAGTGACTGCTTGGGAATACCAGGTGCTGTATCTTTGGATGCATCGGTGGTGCAGTAGTTAATAGTTAGGTGCCTTCCAAAAGCTAAACAGAGTATTAAGAAACAGAAAATTTTCATTATAAACAAAGAAAAGAGGACTTAACTGTTATGTGATATCTGTCCTCATATATGACAGTGAATGATGGACAATCTCTTTGCAGACAAAGAAGAGATTTGAAGCAACAGTGGTTCTACAGAAGGATGATGAGAATACTATGGACTGAGAATACCATGGATACTTAATATCAGGAAGAAATAATTGAAATTTTTAGGGCATATAATGAAGAAAGAGAACTTGGAAAATCTGATACTCACAAGACAGATTGAATTTATTAATTTTTCATGAGGTACAAAGGACAGGATATTGTGGAGAGTCATGATCGTCTATCTTCTGAAGGGACATGGCACGTAGAAGAAGAATCCCACGGGACAATCCTGAGTGTAGAACTTGGGGCCTTATACCTAATCTCATGTTGTTAATGTTGCTGCTGCTGCTGCTACTTATCAAACATGAATGCATTCACCATGGCTTTTCTTTTTTTGCTTCTGCTACTACTGCTTTACTGTAATTTTTTTTTGTTTATTAATGGCTCCCATATCAGATTTATTTCTATACTAGGCCGACATAGGAGATCCTCATAGCATAGCAAATGCACTGATTCTTTCAGATATTTGACTTGTCAGTGTTCTTCTCTGTCTTGTATTTTTCTTCAGTCCTTAGGAGATAATGACCAAACTTTTCCCTCTATAAATGAAATAGATTTCTTTCATTTATGTTCATTTATATTAAACAGCAACACTGGCAAGGTTGAAATTGAAGGTGATTAGGCTGTTCGAGATTTGGTGTTATTGCTTTTACGAACAGACTTGGTAGTGGTGGTGGGGGTCAATTTTGTGCTAATGTTGGCTAAAATGAATAATTCCAGAATTTGCTGATATCATTTATCCAAGACACATTTCATTATGACTAACAACCACTTGAAATGTAGAACTCAGGTGGTTTTCTTTACCAAAGGCATTAGTCTCGAATTCTTAGAATGACATCAGATGATTTCTTGTAATGATGGCTCAGCTGGTTCTAACAGCTAATGGATGCTTAGAGCTGACATTCCTAATAATGTACTTGTGGAATTCACCAAAAGAATTCTTTAGAAAATGTTGGCAGAATTCAAGAACTGCTCAGGAGAGGTCTGTGTTTATTTTTTCCACAAAATTTCAACCAACTACTCAAAATACATAAAAAATTAATGATTACGTGTATCATCATGCTCTATATCTTGTAAACAGTTTAGGTCAGAGGAATAACACATGTAGTGCATCTATAACAGCAGTGGTGTGTCTAGAGCAAGATATCCTGACACAGCCCATTCCTGATCAGACTGGTTTTGAATTTTCCTTCTCCTTGACTGGTTACTATTTCAAGGCAAGATATCCCAGTCAGTCCTGATATTTAACCCATAACTTGGGGGTAAGATATGGATTTAAATGACATATATTTTAGCAATGACTAATTGCAATTCTCATGGTCAGGAATGCAAGCATTAAGGACAGAATTTAACACAAAGTGTGATGTGTAAATTGTCATCATATTATATTTTTAATTTTGCGCATGTGTGTTGTTTGTTTTTGATTTTGTTGACTGCACAGTGCAGTAGGGTCAGTTGGGCACTGTCTGAGAAAGGAGCACCATGATGCAATTCACTCCGCCATAAATTTGAAAGCAGCATGCTGTACTGCTTGGCATTTGCATTGGAAGCTCCAACATGAACATTTCAGAGTATTTGGGTGTCAATCTGAGGACAGTGAAGAGGATTCATAAAGAGTTGGATGATTCTGATGGTGAATATGAAGAAGTTTGGCATGATCACTAGTGATGGTGTCCTGGGTCAAGAGGGTGACTGCTGGAAGACCCTGTCTGGCAACATGACTCTGCACCATGCTACACAAGCAGGAGAACCCAGTCATAGCTCCCAGACAATTTCTGCAACCACATCATCTTTTAAATCTGGTCACCTAACTCCCCAGACTGTGCAACATCATTGATTATTATGTGTGGGGCACAGCTGAGTGAGAGATCAACAAAACTATATATATATATATATATATATATATATATATATATATATATATATATATATATATATATATACACACACACATACACACACAGGGTGCGATGGGTAAATTGTCGCCACTTTATATTTTTAATTTCATGCATGTGTGCTGTTTGTTTTTGATTTTGTCAACTGCACAGTATAGTAGGGTCAGTTGGGCACTATGAGAAAAAGAGCACCATGACACAATTCACTGCACCAGAAATTTGGAAATGGCATTCATGCCAGAAGCTCCAATACAAACATTTCAGTGTGTTTGGGTGGCAGTCTGAGAACAGTGCAAAGGATTCGGAAAGAGTTGGATGAATATAATGGTGATTACTAGTGATGGTGTCTATATTCCTTCATCTTCCCCCAGGGCTTCAGACTCAACAGTCAATATGGAGACCTACATCAAGTGCCTTGGGGAGGTAGTGCTGCCTTGAGTCAAGAGGGTGGCTGCTGGAAGACACAATGTCTGGCAACAGGACTTTACACCATGGTACACAAACAGGAGAACCCAGTCATGGCTATGAGACAATTTCTGTAACCACATCACCTCTTATATCTGGCCACCTACCTCCCCAGACTACAACTTCCTTGATTATTATGTGTGGGGGTGCAATTGAGTGAGAGACCAACAAAAATCCTTTTAACACCAAAGATGAACAGAAGGATTATGGCAGCATTCCCCAACTTAAACAAGGAAACCATCTGGAAGAGTTGCAGGAGATTCCAAAGTTATCGGCAGGCTGTGGTTGAAGCCAATGGTGATTTTATTCAATAAATTTACATTTTTATATTCCAAGATGTTTTGTGTAATTTTAGTAAATATATCTTTTAAAATGAGACGTCAGTGTTATTTTCATTTTTGTATAATTAAGGCAACAAATTATTCATCATATCCTAAGATGTACAATATAGGAGGGGGATACTGAAAAGTTCTCAGTTTGTCAAATTTATTCTGGAAAGGTTTTTGGTAGACTTAGAACTTTTCTGCTCATTGTTATAAATATATGTCAAATCAGGAAGAAAATTCTTTTCTGTGGTTTGGAATGAATGTAATCATTACTGATAGCATATGTCTATTGTATTTATAATGTAAATGTATTGATGATGATTTTACTATAGGAATGCATTGGAAATCAGGAAGAAAGGGATTGTCAGTGGTCAGGAATGAATGCAAGCATTACTGATAGAATAGGGCTATTATATGGATAATGTAAACGTATTGCTAATGATTTTACTATAGAAATGCATTGGAAATCAGGAAGAAAGGGATTGTCAGTGGTCAGGAATGAATGCAAGCATTACTGATAGAATAGGGCTATTATATGTATAATGTAAACATATTGCTAATGATTTTACTATAGGAGTGCATTGAAAACCAGGAAGAAAAGGATTGTCAGTGGTCAGGAATGAAAGCAAGCATTACTGATAGAATAGGGCTATTATATGGATAATGTAAACATATTGCTAATGATTTTACTATAGGAATGCATTGAAAACCAGGAAGAAAGGGATTGTCAGTGGTCAGGAATGAAAGCAAGCATTACTGATAGAATAGGGCTATTATATGCATAATGGAAATGCACTGCTCATAATTTTACTATAGGAATGCACGAGAAATCATGGAGAAAGGGATTGTTATTGATTAAGAATGAAGGCAATTATTACTGATTAAATATAGGAATTTTGAAGTTTATCTTAATTTATCTCAGAATTTTTAAATAAATAATTATAATACTTTTACATTCACACTAGCATTTTAAACCAAACACTTTATTCAACCAAATGTAGTTGTGACAAAGAATACCAGCATAAGATTAGCTGCTCTTTAAAAGTAAAGGTGGAAAAACATCAAAAGAGTGTTTTTTTCAGGATTAGCATTGAAATCATGTATAGCTGATCATGTGGAGGGAAATGGATGGTGATCCCCCCTGTGGAAGACAGACAAGATAATAAACAGAGAACAATACTGAAAGATAAGACAACTGAGTCAGTCAGGGCACCTGTTAGGCTCTGACAACTTATTCAGTAGGCCGAGCATAGAGATGAACACTAAGAACCTTTGATGAAGAAAGAATGGACATTTGAAAATTCCACTGTTTATGGACAAGAATTAAGATGAAAATTTCATAGAAACTAGATTGTTTAAGAGACACATGACCTGGGGGATTAAAATATTTGTTAAAATATCTGATTCCCCCACAGTTGTGAGTTAAATTTCTACGTCAGGTAGTGCAGAAAATTTATAGACTCTCATTCAGTGAAAGAAACAGACAAG